TGTTTTTCCTCCTGATAGTTCAGTAGATTTGACTCCATTGGGACCAAAACTACAACATCTGTTCCATCTCCAGCTGCTCTGACTCTTCCTCACTGCAGTCAAACCAACTAAACCCTTTGGAGCACCTGTTCCCCTCCTGTCCTGTGGGGGCGCTGCACCAAGAACCACTGAAGAAAAAGACATGAATCAACTCAAAGCGCAGCTTCCTGTCTTTATAAAATGTAAACAAAAATGGAATGGTGGCAGATTTCTCCTGCTAACACTAGGCTAGCACATTTACCCAGAGTTCCCTGGACTGTAGTCCACTTCCTGTCTTTGGCTCAGTCTCTGGTCCTCTTGGCGTTCACATATGAATTCACTCCAGAGTTCACTTCAAAACCAAGACAGGTTTGTCATTTGCTGCGTCGCAATAATGGTGGAGATGGATTAACAGGAAATGGAAATGCTGCGTAAAGAATCTTCACTTGCTTCAAAATAAGAGCGTGAATATAAACATCAAGAATGTATATATTTTCTGAGTCTTTGACTTTTGGCCAAACCTGTCAGGACTTCCAGTCTGATCAGGAACAAAACAGATTCTGTATTTTTTTCAATGCTTTTTTGCTCATATTACTGCAAAACCTGGTTGTAAAGTATTTGGTTCATATACGTTCTTGAGTTTTACATCTACAGTTTCTGAACATTTGAGGAATGCTTAATGTTAAAGTATATATTTTTCTGCAGCTATTTTCCATCTCACCACATTTACTTTTCATGCTGAATGAGTTAAACCACAGATTAACTTCCCTCCCACACATAAACAAAAGGGAAACGTCTTTGCACGCCACCGTGAGAACATTTCCAGACATGCATGAATGTTTACTTTGTTCTGTTTAATCCCAAAAAATCACAACATTCCAGCCCCTGTTTCTGCCTGTCGCACATAAAAACTCTTCAAATGCAGCAAATCTGTGACCAGTTAGAACAGCAATCATTACAGCAGATTTTGTTAATGCACCGTCATTAACTGTCCGTTGGTTGATTTGATCTTCTCACACATTTTAGGGTGTGGCTGTGAAAGAAACAATGAAGTGAAACGTCAGAAACTTTGAATTCCCCACAACCAGAGGAAGGAAGATTAACCAAAGAATTTACTTAAGAAGTATCCATTCAATAAAATACTCAAATAAGAATAAATAAGTATTTAGTAAAATTGCTACTAAAGTAACAAATACATTTTGAATGGTTTTTTAAAATGCCACGAAAAAAAAAAATATTCATGGACAGGTTTTGAGCTAATCAACCAGGCTTTCAAAAGCTTCATTAAATCAGATGTTGACGCTTCGCGTGGCTGCAGTAAACAGGAAGTAGAAGCTACAAACTAGCATGAAATACACATCTCACAGTAATAGACAGGCGTGCCTCTGGTAAGGCACAGATCCACCAGTGGATGGGAGGATTTTCTACTTATTCTGGAAATGTTTCCATCTCCCCTTTACTGCATTATTTCTTTTTAAGAAAACAAAGATCTACAGTATCTGATTTCAAATTACTTACTATTACTTGGCGTGAGACACACCAGCCTATTATTTTTGAAAAGCATTAGTTGCGCTTCCTGCACAACCAAGTGGTTTCTGGATGGTAAGTCAACAAAAACAACACGTCTTTTCCAGCAGCCATTGTACAGCACATACAGCAGTAAAACCAGCCGACCAAATGTGCTGGAGCTCAGCTTGGGTTTCTCGGTAACAGACGGAACGGTGCTGAGGTTGCTAGCAGAGTTAGCGTGCTAGCAGAGTTAGCGTGACTCAACGATCAGGACGTTTTTGAAATCACTCATTTTCCAGACACCAAAAAACATCTTGGGTTGTTTACAGAAGCAGCAGAAACACAAATGGAAAAATGTGCAAAAATTTTGAACACTGGATTCCCTTTCAGCAGCTTTAAAATCCTGCAAATTGGGACTGACTGTTGGCTGTTCACCTGCTTGTAATGAGTTGTTGCTTATTATCCTTCACTGTTTTTTACAAGAGTCACAGTTTCCCAGAATGCCCTGCAGGTGTTGCCAATGGATCCCCACTGTAAAAATGGAGGCAACATTTCCGTTGGGTTTTTGATCATCTGAGGCATGGGAGGATATTTGTGTAAACTCTTTGTACATGAGTCTTTCTCCTTCTCTCCCTTTACGCTCTTTTCCACATCACTGTTTTGTTTTATGTGTTTTGATGGTTTTACATCAAAGCTCTGAAGTTCTTTTGTTACCAACCAAGGATTTTTTCCTTTCCTACCTCTTGTTAGTTCCTGTAACATATCTTCTTAAAAAGTCTGATTTCATTGTTTGGACTGGGTTCTATTGTGTAACAGCGTTGGAGGGTTGGTGCATTACATACCCATACACTCTGGAGAGCATCCAAGAGCCAGAACCTGGTTTCTGGTTTCATGTCTTGCAGCAGCTGGATTCAGTTTAAATCATCTGCAATCATACAAAGATTTCATTTCCTCACGCTCTGCTCTCCTCTCCTCAGTAATCTACCAACAATAGAAACAGCTTGCAACAGGAGGAAGTAAAAAGAAAAACAAACAAAACCTGGAAGCCATTTTGTTTGGAGAAACTAACGTCAGAGGTTGAGGTCGACTCCTCTTGTGATGAACTGAATCTCAAGTCAAAACGAAACCTAAGCCACCACAGACAGTTATGTTTCTGTTTGCTGTGAAAAGGTTGTCGGTTGGTTGGTGGGTGTGGGAAGGTCTTAAATATCAGAGATTAGATTATGGAGGAGGGGAAATCCAGGAAAATTCACTTTGAATGTATCACATTGGCTGCAGCTCTGAGCTGGAGGCTGGAGGCCAAACGTCAGTGGAGTTCTGTCTAAATGAAGCCAAAATGTGCAGGCAGGCATTTCTGGTTCTTCACTATTTTGATTCAATCACTTTGTTTAGCTTTACGGGCCCCAAAAAGGCCTCATCTGGATTCAGTTTGGTTTGTTCTGTTGAAACGCTACAGAAAAGCTGCTTTCTCACACAGCTGCATCGCGCAGCAGAACAGAATCCTTCTTCTTACTGGACAAACATATTCATAGAAATAAAAGCAAATTAAAAAGTTTTAGCTCTTTGATATTTTAATCTTTTCACAACTGAAAACATTTTTAAATCTTTGTCCATCAATTTCACTGGAAAAACATCAAATCTTACTGAGTGATTTTGTTCAGTGCAAATATCTGAGCACATGTGAAAAAAGACAAAACTAACTTACAAGTAACTCTGGAGCCAGGCTGCAGGGGGCAGGGGGGCACGACGGCCGGGCTCAGCCCAGAGAGGAGGCACAGGGCCCCCATGGACCCACCATGGGGGCCAAAGGTCAGGTGTGATGTGAGCTGGGTGATGGCGAGGGAGGGGGACCTGGCGGTCCGGCCCTCGGTTGCAGAGGATCGGACCTCTTGGGAGGCGGAACGCCACGTCTCTGGGGGGGAAGAGCCAGAGCCGGTTCCACTGTCAGATTATTCAATTCATAATATGGTAAAAACGTCTCATTATAAGCGAAATAATCTGCCTTTTCTTGACAATAAAAAGGACTTATTGACTTATTGTGTTTAAAAGTTACTTGTAAGTTATTTTCTTATTTCAAGGTGAACTAAAATACTTGTGCTAAAAAACTGGATCACAAAGGCTGAGAAAAACTTTGTTTTTTGACAAATTGTGTGATTTTATAATAATGACACAATTGTTTTTATGCACTTTCATTTAAAAACTGGTTATGATCTGTAGATGTTTGGATTTTTAATTTGATTTATGTTTTGTTTATTTCTTCACTGATCATTTCTCTTGCTCTCCCAGTTTATTCCTTGTCACTTCAGTTCGTTTATTTGTGTTTTAGTTTATTTAATGTCTCTTTCTGTTTACTCTTTTTATTCCCTCTTCTCTCTAAAACTGTAATATCAATATAATCACATTTGTTTATGGGCTGAGGTTGACAGTCCGAGTCCCTTTGTGTGTGTGCAGCTGCGACTCGCTCCTGTTGCCAAGGAGATGATGGTATCAGAGAAAACAGGAAGTTGTGGTTTCTGACTTTATTTTTCGCCAGGCTCTGATGCAGACAGAGTCCTGGGTAGTGCTGATGTCTCTCCTCTGCTTTTTATGGCTTTAGAGTCAGAAAGTCAGAAACTATCATGTCCCTTTGGGGTTGCTAGGTAACAGACAAAGTTCTGCTCTGGTTGCCAGGTGACGGACAGAGTTCCGTTGGGGTTGCTAGGTAACAGGCGAAGTTCTGCTCTGGTTGCCAGGTGACGGACAGAGTTCCGTTGGGGTTGCTAGGTAACAGACGAAGTTCTGCTCTGGTTGCCAGGTGACGGACAGAGTTCCGTTGGGGTTGCTAGGTAACAGGCGAAGTTCTGCTCTGGTTGCCAGGTGACGGACAGAGTTCCGTTGGGGTTGCTAGGTAACAGACCAAGTTCTGCTCTGGTTGCCAGGTGACGGACAGAGTTCCGTTGGGGTTGCTAGGTAACAGGCGAAGTTCTGCTCTGGTTGCCAGGTGACGGACAGAGTTCCGTTGGGTTGCTAGGTAACAGGCGAAGTTCTGCTCTGGTTGCCAGGTGACGGACAGAGTTCTGTTGGGGTTGCTAGGTAACAGGCAGTGCTTGTTGATTTGTGACTGTAGGTTTTTGAAATGACTCATTTTCCAAACACCAAAAAACATAATATATATATATATTTTATCAATAACTGTATTGCTGATTATTTTATTGTTTTTACAAACAGTAAAATCCCACATGAAGATTTTCCAGCCTTTTTTTCTGCACTGGTTTACAATATTTAGAGTCTGTGATATTTTGACATTTGCAAACAAATTTTTTAATTCAGCTTAGTTTCAAGCTATTCAGATGCTAAAAACCATGAAAATAAAACTTTGTGCGCTGTCCTGTTTCATTTCATGCTGTCTTGATGAGTCTTGACGTGTCAGAATGTAAACCTTGGGGCCGCTCGTGCTGATTGGCTGCTGTATTTCCACTCAGACTCTCTGCAAGATCTCTTGAACGTCACAGCCAAACTGCATCCTGATCGACGCTCTGCTTCTCCTCTCCTGTGGCCAACTGAGAAGAAAAGATGGGAAAAATAAACGGATGCCTCAAGTGCCTTTTTATCTTCTTCAATGTGCTGTTTCTAGTAAGTACAAGTTATTCTCTAAAACTTTTTCAGGTTTCAAAATCTCTAAAATGTTAATATTTAGTAGTAGTTACGTTTTCTAAAAACGTAACTACTACTAAATATTAACATTTTAGAGATTCTTGATTCTTGATGAACAAGAATCAAGTTTTTAATTACACAAAATGACAAAAAAATAGAAAAGAATGTTTGCTTTTTTATTATTTTGGAGTTTTAGACTTCTTTGAACATTTGCTGTATTACTTGTATCATCAGTCATTTTATATCAATTATTTTGCATTGGAAAAATATTAAAGACTTTAGTTTTTTGGAGTTTGGAAAATGTAAAAATTTTTCTTAATCTACTTTTAAAACTATTATGTTTCTGAAAAACGTGTAATTTGTATAGATTTTAGTGGCAATGTAATTATTATGGTTTAAAGTTACATAAGATAAACAGAGAACATGATGTTCTGAGTTGTAACTTGTCCAGCTTGAGTCCAATGAGCCACAACTTCCAGTAACAGAAGCTGTGCGTGTGTGTGTGTGTGTGTGTGTGTGTGTGTGTGTGTGTGTGGTGTGTGTGTGTGTGTGTGTGTGTGTGTGTGTGTGGGTGGGTGAGGGTCCTGTTACTCTCCGCCCATTGGACCCTCCTGTAGTTTTCTTTCTTTTTTTTCTTTTTTTTTTTTAATCATTTCAATCTGGAGAGACTCACACAGAGAAGAAAATAGCAGTTAGAAGATTTAATGATAGAAATTCTTTGGCGCTCGGGCCGGCAGGAGACTGTGAGTCGCGGATCACCGCAGGCAGGACATCAGCTCGGCTGAGCTCGGCTGAGCTCGGAGAGTCTGAATCTGGGTGCGGAAGGTCCTGCAGGGCAACCATCAGGACAGAGGTGGTCGACCCCGCGGCTTTCGAAGACATTCCTGGATGACGATTGGCTGAAGCGGTGTGTTGCTCCAGACCTGATTGGCTGGTGATTGAGAGACGAGTCTCCCAGCTTGAATTTTCGCCTAAGCTCCATATTTCAGTGTTGAAGACATTTTGTTCTTTCAGTTTCCTGTCCGACAAAACGGACAAAAAAAGAGAGAAAGAAATAAGAAAATTTGGAGTTTGACAAATCTTGGAGAAATCTTGGAGAAGTTTCAAAAAGTTTTTTGGTGCAAGAATGAAACACAAAGGTTTAAAAAGTGAATTTATAAAGTTTTTTGAAACTGTTTTTGTTTCTTTAATTAATTAAATAACAGAAAGCTGTTTCTCCCCCGCGTCTTTTTGTCTTTTTTTTGCATCCTTCCTTCCCGCATTTTTCTGAAGCTGCGTCATTTCAGACAGGAGGCCATTTTCTGCTCTCTGCCGCCCTCTGGTGTCCTGCAGCTGAAATTACAGACAAACTAAACTATTAATCCCCTAAAACCATCCAGGATTCTTATTGTTTGTTCTAATTATTTATTAATAAAACAAATAAAAAGATGGAAATTATGTTTTATTTATGATTTTGTCATCAATTTTTTTGGCTCCTTTCATATGAGCAACTTTTTTGTGAATTTCAGATGAAGCAAATATAGTTTGATTTGTTCAATTCAGTTTTTCTTTCTGTTCCAGGTCGTCGGATGTGTGATGATATACGTGGCAGTGCAGGCCACTGCTTCTTCAATCAAGGTAAACTATGAAAATATCATTCAATTTAAATTATTTGGGTAAAAGTCTGAAATATATACTTTCTGTTTAGATAAGATAAAAAAACCAAAAACAAGTAGTTGCGTCTAATCCTGTGCATTAATGCAATGACAAACAACCTGAAGCTAGACTCCAAACCAACAGGGGGCGCTGCAGAGCACAATGTGTTTCACACAATGACAATTGACAAATAGTTTTGTCATTTCACAAAAATAAAGTAGCAATAATACAGAGCAAAGTTGTAGTATTACAATAATAAACCAACATTTGTGACTTTATTCTTCTTATCAAAAATCTCCTGTAGCAGTCTGTGTTACAGTAAATCTGAAGAAGCCTCTTACTGGAGAAGCCTCTGCAGTGTTTTATTTTTTACAGCGTTTCATATCTTTTTTAATCCAGTGTTTTATTTTTAAATTTCTTTGACTCCAACTGGACTGGATACATTGAAGAAAATGGAATGGATCATTTGAAGCTTTGCTGTGACTCGTTTTTTGCTTTCCAATTGATCAGATGTCGACATTCGGAGGCCCGAGCATTGGCTGGATCTGGGTCATCACCCTCGGCATCTTCGGCATCTCTGCTCTGGGAATCTTCGCCGCCTGCTCAGAGAAGGAGCTTTTCCTCAAAATAGTACGTAGAAACGTCTGAATCCTACAGAAGCATGACATCAGCAAACACCAGCTGAACTTGTTTTGTGCAGTTTGCAGGTTTCATGGTGATTGGGATGATCATCATGCTGATCTTTGGGACGGTTGTGGCTGTTTTGAGAAACTCGGTAACCTGCTATAAACACCAACAGCATCACCAACTTCAGTTTGGTTTTATGCTAACAGAGTTTTGTTTTTTATCTCTTAGCTGAAACAAAGCTTTGAGAGTAAATCCAAAGAGTTTGTCGAGCCCATCATGAACGATGAAGAGTCGCGGCAAATGCTGGAGGCCTTCCAAAGCTCAGTAAGACTAAATCTGAGTCCTTCAGACTGAATGTTCCCAGATTTGTCTCCAGTAAGGCGTGTGTGTTTGCAGGTCAAGTGCTGTGGCCTGGTCAGCGCGGACGACTGGGGCAAAGAAATCCCAGCGTCCTGTGAATGCAAAGACACCAACGGACTGTTTGGAAGGACAACCTGTAAATCCAAACCTGTGGTACGAATTCAGGGTCATACAGAGGGACTTTTATTTCATTTTAATATTTTATCAGCTTTATTTTTATTTATCATTTTATATTATTACAATTATTTTAAATTTATCATATATTTTTAACATTTTTAATTGAATTTTATTTATTGATTTTTAATTTTAATTTATTAATTTATGACAGTTTTTTTGTAGAATTCTCAAATCTGTATTTCATGGTATTTTTGGTTTCTTCTCTACATCCTGGTTACAATATTGTGTTGTTTTGCTGCAGGGATCCACCGGACCGGCTCAGATCTACGCCGAGGTATTAATTCAGATTATCAACATTCTGCTCTCAACAGAAATTTTCCAAACCTAAAACTCTCAGAAGTTTTCTAGAAAAAAAATTCTGAGTTTGAAATGCTGATAATTTGATAGATAAAAATCTGACAATTCCTATAAAGAACTTGTAATTTTTCTAGGAAAAAGTGGAAATTTTGATTTTTTTTTAAAAGTTGGCTTTTTTTAGAAAAAAATTGGAAAACTTCCGTTTCAAAATTGCACATATTTGTTTTACAAAAAACTTGGAATTTTTAATTTTCTAGAAAACACTTGGAAATATTCTTAAAAAGATTTAAATATTAAAAATTTTCTTTAAAAAAATTCAGAAATGGGAAATTCTTTCCTAGGAGAAAATTTCCCACAAATTCTTTCCAGAAAAGAATTTTCTAGAAAGAATTTTGAGAAATTGCAAATTTGCTAGAAAAACAGAACATTTCTAGAATAGAACTTGAAAATTCTCAAGACAAGGCGATTTCTGAGTTTCAAAAGTTGTAAACTTCTGAAACCAAAATTCTTTTCTGAAAAGAATTCTGAGATTAATCAGATTTTTTTTCTATCCATTTTTTTTTACTTTTCAAACTGAGACATTTTCTTGTTTCTTCTAATAGTATAAAATGTTCAACTTTCCAAAATTTCCACCTTTTCAAACTGAAGAATTTTCTTGTTTTTCCTAAATAATTTCAGAGGTTTTATTTTTTTCTACCTGAACGGCCCTGATAACCTGTCGAATGTTTCTCTCCTCTGCAGTCCTGCAGTAGCAGCATCTTTTATATCGTGGACATCATATTCAAGATCTCCCTGGGCTTCCTGTTTGGTTTCGCTGTCACTGCAGTAAGTCCAAATGATATTTTAACTGATCAAATTATTTCTTCCCAGCATGTGGTTGTGCAGCAGAAACTATGAAGCAACTTTTAATAACGCCTGGATTTGGCATTTCAAGGCTGCAGCTACAGTTTTCTGCCAACAGGTGGCAGAGTTTCACAATTTATTGTGATTTAAACAAGTTTTTAAAAAGATCAATGGAGTTTTAGTACTTGGGCAAGAAAGACAAATAAATATTTAAAATTAAGAGAATACAGTCATAAAATGATGAGAAAGTCGTGATATTACCAAAATAATGGCATCATACTATTTTGAGAAAAAGTTTCTGGTAAAAAAAGAAAGAAAATATTTAATCTGTTAACATATCTGTGTCCTGATCGCTGATGATTTCAGCCACAATTGTTTTTGTCTAATAATTGTTATTAAAATCGCTAATTTTGTTGGACTAAGTTGGAAATATCTGCCAGGAGTTTCATGATGTGAATTGCTCAGCATGAAGGAAAATCATTCTCAGATTATATTATCTGGTAACAAGGTCATAATATAATGTCTGATAATAACATTTCCACCAGATACATTTTATGTTAATGAGATGTAACATAAAACGGTGAATAAAAACAATCTCAAAGTTGATGTTTCTACATATTTGAGGTCAATATGCATTGGGGGCATTAGAAACTAATTTATTGCTTATTTCTTGATGCTTATTTCTTTTATTTTTATTTATTTATTTTATGTAAAGCACTTTGTATCAGCTGTGGTTGTTTTAAAGTGCTTTATAAATAAAGTTGGTATGGTAAGCTGATCCATGTGAGCTAATTATGGAAGCATGTCTTAATTTTTGAATTTGAATCGTTTCTCTGTGCTTCCAGCTGTTGGGCCTGCTGATCTCCATCCTGATGATCCATCAGATCAGACGTCACGACAGCATGGGAGGACCGTCCATCGCCATGAAGGGTTACTGAGGCTAACCTGACTGTTAGCATCGGAATGTAACCAGCGTCTCTGGTTTTATCACCCAGGGATCCAAATCCTCCTGGACGAGATGTCTTCTTCTCCTTAAGAGTTTATATCACTGATTTTTGTATGAACATTTATTTTTTTACATCGTTATGTTTTTGTTGCTGAATTGTATTAATCTGTGCAACACAGAAAAAATCTGAATATTTCCATAAACCTCAGCTGGGAGGTGAAAAATATTTCCAGACATTAAATTTAGGAAAACTACAATCATGGGATTAATTTCTTATGCATTTTTGGGTCTGAAACTTGCTAACGACTTTTTATAAGTTGGCAAAACAATCATTAAAGCAGATTATATGAAGTTTTCAGTAATTTTAATGGAATAATTTCACAAGAGAATGACTTTAAAAGTACCAGTAACATTTTTACAACTATTTTGTCATTATTTTGTGGGAAATATTGTCTTTTTTATTTTCTTAAATCATTTTCCACAAATTTCTACAAAATCTATCCACCTTTTTGCAAAATTTGTATATTTTCTATATTTTAAAACCTAAAAATGTAAATAAAGTGGTGGTTGTTTAAAATTTCCAACAGTAAAGAAGAAATATTAATTTTATTTTTGAAGCATTTATGGCCTCCTTGGATTATTCCTGCAGACCCGTAATCTGGACATTCGCTGAATAAAACGAGACAAATCTGGGCAAAGTCTGGACTAATTATGTCAATAAATGTTTTAAACTCCATTATGAAAATGATGTTTAAATGAAAAAACAAAACATTTCCATTATATTCTGTAAAAGTATTGCACTTTTTTTAATAAAACAATATTTCCACAGATTTATTTGATATTGTGTTGAATCTAAATATTTATGACTTTTTACATTTACTTTTTGTTTAATATAAATGGATAAACTACATGACTAAAACCCCACAATAATCTAAAATATTTTATGGTTTGTTGCAATTCATTAGTTTTGGGAAGCACGTCTTTATTTTGCATATTTAAAAGTCAAATTCAGTTTATTCATATTTCCAATTTCAATGTAAAACTGAAAACATCAGTTTTTCAAAATTATTGTAGCTTTTATTTAATAGATTCACACAGAGAGAAAATGTTTTAATTGCTGCTCTGAAACTTATTTTCAGATAATATTTCTCTGATTTTTGTGAATAAATATGCATATTATTGCACCTATATGTGAAAAATCAGTAATTAATCAGAGTTGTATTTATTATATTGAGCCAAACAAAAGTAATTTTATTAATTCAGTATTTTTAGCATTTATCTACAAAAAGGCAAGAATATTAAAAAATAATTGGAAAAAATGCATTTATTGATCAAAAATGATACAAAAATTTAAGTTATTTTCCTCCATTATGATTTTCTATTGATTGGCTTCTTGAACCTTTAGTTTTGTAGAAAATGTAACATCTCTGTGCTGAAATGCTCCACAAACGATGTGGAAAGAGTCAATGCTGAACGTCTGAGGATCATAAAAATGACTCAATAATTAAATCTAATCTTCCTGATTATTCAAACAAAACAGATTCAGTCAAACTAAGGAGTACATTTTTGATTCACACTGAGTAAATTAGTCAGTTATTGCTGTATTTTGATCCATGAAAATGGAAATAATGCACATTATTCCTGCTAATAGCTGAAAAAGGAACAGAGAAAATATGTATTAATCCACTTGTAGAGCAAAATATACAGAATAGAAAAACATTTTACTAAACTTTACTTCCTCTCTTTCTCTGAGGGTTTCTTAATATTGTCACTCATCACCTCAACTTAATTTAATATATACAACACACAGGTCACTAATTATATAACAATGTGTTTTATTCAAACAGATGTAAGAAAAAGATATGAGGACGTAGATCTTTTGTCTTGAATTACAACACAATGTTTCTTCAAATAATAAAACTCAAGTGAAAGCTGCTGTAACTTTCTCTCAATTAGTTCCTTCAGAAAATGAATCTGGTGACGTTTTCTCTGCGTTTGATCGTCTCTGTTTGCAGCAGCAACATTTCATTCGGGCTCCATGTTGCACTGCTGTACTTTCACTTTCTCTTCTCTTCTCTTGTACATTTTGGTTTTGGGTTTAGATGAAATTGTGTGAAACTTTGAAACACAAACAGGTGTCAAACACAACCTCAGCAAACTGTGACGATAACAAAAAATAAAACAAACAATCTTTAAAATAAAAGTTACACAGTGCAGCGTTCAGTCCCCAGCTTTGCCATAAATGAAACGATGGACTTGAAGAAGCTGATCAGTTCTGTTGTTTTTGTTGTGATTTATTGACTCCGCCCATTTTTGTTGACTCCACCCATTTTCTGTCTCCTCTGCTTTGCTCATTTGACCAACATGAGGTTTTAGTCAGTCTTAAAAAGTCCAGAAAAATTATAAACTGTTAGAATCACGTAGGAACTTGTTCCACTAACCAGAAAGTCACATTGTAAATAACTATTAAATGGTAAAATTATCCTTCTTGTTCATTGGTCCAACAGTGACACCTAGTGGTTGATTTGTGCTTTTATTTTGAAGAACAGCAGATTTCTTCTTCGTGTATTCCTGTTTTCGCTAACCACGATGAGTGAGCGTTGGAGCCTGAAGGAAACCAAAGAACATCTGAAATTAGCGCCCTGGGGAAGCAGAAGGAGGTCTGGACATGCGCAGTTGTGATTTGTGATCAGACATTTTTATTTAAAAGCAGCTGAACGTCAGTTGTTTATTGTTTAGAAACAAAACTGTATACGCTGACGAACCCTAACCCTAAATAAACATAAATGTTCACACAAAATGCGTTTTGTGTGAACATTTATGTTTATTGATACAAGAGTTAAGCATGCCCAACAGTTATGTATCTTTTATTTCACGCTACAGTTTTCACGGTGTCTGACAGGAAAAGTCCAGATTAAACTGCAGCGTTTGGAGCGACTGGCTGTTTAATGGAAGAGGCCGCGACCCTAACCCTAACCCTGACCCTAACCCTAACCCTACCCTATAAAGGTGAGGATTTTATGAACACCCACAAATTACATATAAAAGTATTTTTCAAAGAGACAGACACTCATGTACTTTTATACAAAAAGTAGTTTTCACCCACAACATACATTCAGAGGCCTAGTAAAATCACAATTAATGAGATTCAAAAGAATTTGTACGAGAGAGGAAGATTTTATGATTGCAGTTAAAATACTTTTTAAATCATTAAAGACCAGGGGTTACTCTAGGACATTTTTAAGGTCCTGTTTAAAAACATTTCATGAAAAGGGATGCAAAACACAAAAACAAATCATTCCAATTATAACACAATATGCAACAACCAAACAGATAAATCACATTCTGAAAAATAATTACAGACGACTCATTGAAGGACGAGAATTATTAAAAAACTTTAATGTTATTTCGGCATATAGAAGAAGTAGGAATTTAAAAGACATTTTAGTAAGAGCAAAGCTACAAGACATTCATGAAAAAAGAGGCCATTATTACAAAACATATTTAAAAATATAAATTTTGTAAAAAATCAAACAAATGGAGAAATATTTAGAGTAAATCAAAGTTTTGATCCGCAATCAAGAAATTGCATATACATTATTATTTGCTCAAAATGTGGAAAACAATATGTTGGGGAAACAAAAAATACTTTAGCAACACGGATTTGGCAACATAAGTATAATATTATAAGAAAAAAGAGACAGAGACGGAACTGGTTCAACATTTTATTAATCATAGTTGGAACTCTTTAACAATTTCAGGACTTCAGAGTAATATATTATGGACAGACATGGAAAGAAAAAAATGGGAAAGGAGATGGATTTATAAATTAAACACAAAGAGCCCATATGGATTAAACAAAAAATAAACAAATGAACATAATTGGATATTAACACCAAAATTTCTTAAAACAATTTTTTTAACCCCTACCTTTGGCTGTTTCTAATCTTAACCTTTGACCTTTTTCTAATCCTAACCCTTTAACCTTTCATAAACCTTACCACACCTCTTTAACCTTTGACCTTCTCCTGATCCTAACCCCTTAACCTTTCCCTAAACCTAACCACACCTCTCTCCTCTTTCTTTTTTCCACCTTTACTTTGACCTTGACCTCCTCCTAATCCTAACCCCTTAACCTTTCCCTAAACCTAACACACCTCTTTAACCTTTGACTCCTCCTGATCCTAACCCCTTAACTTTTCCCTAAACCTAACCACACCTCTTTAACCTTGACCTCTTCCTGATCCTAACCCCTTAACCTTTCCCTAAACCTAACCACACATCTCTTCTTTTTCTTTTCCATCTTTATCTTAACTTTAACCTTTTACCTTTCCCTAAACCTAACCTCTTTTCCATCTTTACTTGAACTTTTCTGATAACAACCCCTTGATTTTTCCCTAAACCTAAACCCTTGACCTTTTGACCTTTAACCCCTAGTCTCATTTCTAACCTCAAAATTCTTTCTCTAACTTCTTTTTCTCATTTCCTTATTTCTTTGTTTACTTTTTTATTTATCATTTTTTTAATTTTATTTTTTATAAAAACATTTTTTTAAAATATGGACAATCAATTAAATTCATTTTTCATTGAGTTAAAATCTTAATTTATACTAAAAACAGTTTAAAAATGGAAATTCATACAATACACAGAAAAAGGAAAGACAACGAAGACCAACGTAGGGGGAGGAGCCTCCAGGAGGAGGAGATTATATATAGGAGAGCAGTGCTCATTGCTCCACTCATTGCTGAGTAGCCAGAGGAGCCACAACATTTGGACCGAGCCTTATTTAGTGTGCCTTGCCTGAAGAAGACCTACTGAGGTCGAAACGTCGCTTTTGGCACACGTTAGTTCATTGAATTAAAAAAAATACAGACAAAACAATTTTTTTCAAACAATTATTTTTGGATTCATTTTTTTATTTCATTTTTTCACTTTTATTTCATCCTTCTAAAAAATATAAAAAGAATAAAAAAATTCATAAAACAAATAAATCACTAAAAAATTAAAAAATCTTTCAAAAACACAATAACAACCTAGTAGATAATAATAATACATAAACATATATATATAAACATAACACATATATTTCATATTTTATTGTCTAAGTAATAAAGCCTAGTGGGCTACGGTCTTTAAAAAAATAAAAACATAAAACACAAATGATGTGGCCAGGAGATGACTGGCAGGTGGTCCGGTACGGGAGGAGACGCAGGGAGCGTCCACCTGCCGAACCACGATTCAGTGGGACGTGGGGAAGGAAGGAGCGTGCACCTCCTGTCTTCAGTAGAGGACAGGCTCAATCCTTTGTTCCTAACCCTGGCCCTAACCCTGACCCTGACCCTGACCCCAACCCATAGCAGATTTATCTTTAACTCAGAACTTAACCAGTTTACAGGTTTGTTTGTTTCTCATGAGCATTTTTCTGTGAAACTGACTTTTTTACTTCTTCCCTGGAAGCTACCATAAGACCAGGATACTGGTTTTGTTATGATCATGACTAAGTGCAGAAATAATGTGACTGCATGACATTATTTTCCATTTTCCATCCAGAGCAGTCGATGTCTTTGTCTCCAAATGTTTGCATATTTTGATGCTGGTGTGAAACCACATTCAGAGCCTCACACTTTATTAATTTTGCTCTTTACAGCTTTAAACTCTGTGAGAAAACATTTAGAAGCAGCACATAATACATTTGATCAAATTTTAGAACTAAATACAAAAGAGGTTCATTTGGAGAACAAATGTTTAAAATCAAGTTGCTCTGACAACAAACAACCGTTTTGCATCTTCCTGTATTTGGTCAGTCCTCCACATCCCAATCACATCAATTGTTCTGTGAACTGACCTTTGAACTTCAACTTTTATTCTTATGAAGTCTCTTTGCCCTGCTGTCCATAGCAAAAGGCCACCTATGCTTCTTCTTGATGCTATTTAGCTAAACATCAGCTAAATCTTTATGAAGATGAAGATTGTAATTGAAAAACCAAACCAGCAAATGGTTAAACCGCAGAGAGATATAGAAAATAGTTTCTGGCTCTTTGTTGACACTTCCTCACTGAGTGGCTGCAGATTTGCTTCATCTGCTGAAACGTTTCTGTCACTGATCAAATTCTCTGCAGACGGTTCAACGAGAAGCTCAACCTCAGCACACGTCTCTGCATTTCAACTGCCTAGTCAAAGTAAGACAGAAAATATGGGGGAAATTAACCAATGCCTGAAAATTGTCTTCATCGTCTTCAATTCTTTGTTTACAGTAAGTAAAATAATTTTATAAGTTAAAATAATTTTTAAAATGATTGAAAAATCAGCATTTTGAAATAAAATTTTTATCAATAAATTGTTACTTTAATCCTGACTGCAGTTATAGGTGATGGACTTAATTTGACATTAATTAATTAATGCTAAATTTAATGAATTTTCCATTAACCCTAACCCTGTAATTAATTTAACATTAATTAAATCTTTTTAAGTCCAGAATTCTTTAGTTGAGGTTCAAGTTTTATTTTGCTCTTTAGTGTTTAATGCAGAAATTACAAATATGTGAGAAAACGGCCATTTTAAAAATATTTATCCAAGAATCTACCATAAAATGTTACATTTATGTAAAATCAGGTTATTTGGACTAATGTGGTTCAAATGCATCCTGTGTTCAATCAGTGCTGTTTCTGATAATCCAGCCAGGAAAGACTATTATGATCTTTATACATTTTTCAGTGTTTTTATGATATAAATAATAATAATTGTTCTTTCCTTTTCTTGTTCTCCAGTGTTTAGGGGCCTGGATGATATACCATTTTTTACGTGCCACCATCGATGAGTCCGAGGTAAAATAGAAAAACAATTCAGTTTAACAAACGATCAGAGGAGGAAAGGGAACCATCTCTTCACGCAGACCTGAATAGCTGCGGGTCACGTTCAGCCTGCTGTAACGTTTTTGCTCTTTTGGATCAGATGAGAGGAACGCTGGACCTGACCATGATCGGGGGTTGGATTTTTGCCGTTGGCATCTTTGGGATCTCCTTGCTTGGGAGCCACGCTGCATTCACTGAGAATAAATGCTGCCTCACAGCCGTGAGTACAACATCATTCAGACAAATGAAGACTAAATTAAAATGAATGATTAAAAATTAAGTTGATGGACACTTTGACAATGTATATTGTTTTCTGTGCAGTTTGCAGTTTTCATGGGGATTGGATTGGTCATCATGCTAATCTTTGGAGTTGTTGGCATTGTTTTGAAAAAACAGGTAATTCTAAAAAGTTGATGTGGTTCAGGAAAATTAACAGAGTTCAGAAAATAGGGAAAAACTGGGATTCTGCAGGCGCAGGGATTCCTGACGGCCGTTAAACCACAGAGTTCGGCGCATCCAGTCACTCGATGACAATAAAATTAACCTGTTCATTTCTGTCAAGTGTCAGAAATATTCAGAATATTCAACACAAAACGCTGAATATTCAGAACACCCAGATGTCTCTGGAATGACAACAGCGCTTGCTTTCCGTCCACACCAACAGCCTGCAACCCATAACCTAATAATCTAATAACCTAATAGCCTAATTATTATTAATAACCTAATAACTTAGTAACTTAATAACCCACCTTCTCTTCTTCAGTATTGCAGAGAAACTGAGAAGGAATGCCTTTTCTTCGACATTGGCATTGGGGTCAATTTCGGATTTGCTTTTGTTGCTGTAAGTTTTGGTCGTATTATTTTACCTTCATCTTTTTGTTCTCCTGTCTCTTCTGACCTGTTTTTCCTCTTGTTCTTCCAGATGATGGGCTTGATCATTTCCACTAACATGATTAATCAAATTAATCGTTACGACAACGGCGAACAGCCAGCTATTGCAATGACCAATCAAGAAGCTCAGAGACTTGACATGTTTATGAATATCATTTCAAATTTTAGTTGAACTCCATGTTTGTTGTTGATTCGCTTCCTTCTCAGGTTTTCTGGTCTTTTTTCAGCCTTAGATTTGACTCACCTGAGAAATGAAAGTAGGCCAAGGATGGAGCCTTGAGGAACCTCACACATAAAATCCAGAAGAATTTCATGCTTGTCAAATAAATTGGTAAAACCAAGAAGGATGTTTTTAGTCCATCTTTGACTTGAACATATGAGAGGAACTCTTCCTGTTTCAGTGTCTTTGAAACGTTACATGGTTCACTAACAGCTCAAAATACTTTTATTCAAGGGTCAGACTTTAAGATCTGCCCAGCTGAACCACAAATACAGACATATAAAAAAGTTTGGGCCTGTTGATAGATTTAGTTTTTGATGTTGCTGTAAAAACCACATTCAGAAAAAAAAATAGGTCAAGTCGCCGTAGAACAGAAGTCAGAGTTAATCTTTTCTGTTTACAGCTTTTAACTCTGAGAAAACATTTGGAGACAGTACTACATATTTTATTGACATTTAGTACCTCTTTTCTTGCCAAGTCTTTAAAAAAAAACAGTTTTTCTTGAATATATATTACAGTACCATTTATATATGAGACACCAAAATTATTTAAACTCAGTCTTTTCATGTTTGTTTAAAATATTCTAATCAAATTGGTAATGAGATGATTTAATTGTTTGAAAGAGTCTGTCACTGATTTATCAATTAAACACTAAATAATACATAGTTAATAGTTAATGGGCAGCAGCTAGTTACCCATCATTACCGTCTGAAATATGTTTCATTCTAACTGATATTTGCACACATCTGGTTTGATATCTGGCAACTTTTTTAACTTGGTTTGTTAAAAGATCAGAGCCTGATAATATACATGTCATGTAAAAAACACATCTGATGTATATTGCAACATCTTTTCTCATATCTTTTCAGCACCAGAAGGTTCCGGACACATGGACAACGTAAACTTTTGCTCCAGTTTCAGAGACTAAGTTCGTTCTTGGCCTGTTTGCTTTAACTGAACTCCAGTCAGTTTGCCTAGTGGTTCATTGGTGGAGAAGTAAATTAACTCTGAAAGAACTCTGGTCAGTTGCAGTGAACTCTGAATATGTGAACGCCAAACGAACTGGAGATCACTGCAAAAGCAGGAAGTGGCATTCTGGGTAAATGCAACCAAAACAAACATGATATTTAAGCACAGAGTGGAAAAAATGTCTCGTGGTCTTTAGCCAAAGACTGAGGAGAAATCCTCCAACTGTTCAACTCTGATGCTGCTCCAATGTTCTTTACATTTTGTGTCATTTCCTCCAGTGGTTCTTGGTGCAGCGCCCCCACAGGTGAGGACTGAAAGTTAGAATATGTTAGAATTTTTAAAGCGTTTTCTTGATTTGAAAGAGAATCACAGCAGCTGGAAATAAAGCATGTAGCAACTTTGGAGCCCAATCAAACAGAGTCTACTGGATTATCAGGTGTGAAAACATCCAAGCACCAACAGGCAGAAGGCCTTTAAAAAGGAGTTTCTGCAGCAGGACATCGTCACATGTCCTGCAGCCGTGCAGGACATGATCTCTATCGCCAAAATTCCTCCTCAGCTCCTACTTCTTGACTTTTTGCAGATTTTTGGATTACAGGCAGATCTTTTAGCTGAAGAACTTCTCAGCCAATCTGACCTTGATCTTGTGGTTTGGTTGTTTTTACTCACAGATCTCAATGTGTGGAAACCAACGTGTGTTATTCAAGCCAGCTGCTCCTGTCTTCTGGTTTACCACAGTCGTTTCTGTCTCCTTTACGACTCATTTTACGTTCCGTTGACTATCGCACTGACTGCACCATCTAACAAGCATTTTGAATTAACATGATTGACTCTGAATCTGGGTCGGCTGTGGATGAGTTGGTTTTGGTCTGATGACATGTTTTACAGTCCAAAGTCCCGGAAGTTCTTTCATTTTCCTCAGAATCCTTAGAATTTTACAACAAAAGAAAAACTCTGACAAGAGAAATTAGCAGGTTGAACAAAATGTGGAATATGATCACGACAATACTGACATTAATAACTATGTGTTTATATCTGCTTTGTTTACTGTTCTGTTCAATGTTTCTTCAGTTCCTTTACTCTGCTGTTTTCTGTTGTTATTTCTTGTTTCTGAGTTTTATTTTCAACCACAGCTTTCATAAGCTGAATTCTGTGCAGAGGTTTAGTTTCTCCTCTGCTCTCATTGCTGCTCAGCCGATCCTTCATATTCTAACATATTCTAACTTTCAGTCTTAGAAAGTATCTTTCCTATCCTAATCCCAGCAAAAAGCCAGATAATTCCTTGTTCTCTCCATTAAGATACTATTTAGCTAAAGATTAGGGTGATGGCAAAGAGGCCTTTCATCCTGAAAGGCTCAGAGTTCTTTATCAAAGATAAAATGTCCAAATACCAAAAACATGAAAAAAACTACTCAGTAATAATAAGACAGGTTTTATTGCTTTAAAGAAAATTCAAGTATTGTTTGGTAAGAACATTTTGGAAATTGAAATTTGTTGTAAAACATAAATTAGAAAAAAAATGTCAAACACAAAACAAAAAGTTGGGAAAAGTTTAAAAACTGTTTTTTCTTTAACTCTTCATTGTCCTTCAGTTTGTATGAAACAAAGCAGATTTTTGATTTCTGGTAAAACTGAAGTTTAAAAGCAGGAACCAAAAAACAAACAACTGAAGTCAAACCGTGATACTTCCTCGTTCTGGTCGTTGACAGTTTTGCTGACTGGCTGCAGATTTTCCCTCTGAGTTGAAACGGTTCCCCTCATTGATCAGATTGTCTGCAGGCACAGCAGCATAATCACCTTCGTCTCTGTACAGTTCAGTTCTTTCTGTCCCTCAACTGTCTAGTCAAAGTAAAACAGACAACATGGGGAAAATTGATGGATGTCTGAAGGCTGTTTTCTTTGGATTTTATAAGTAATTTTTTATTTATGTGGAAGATTCAGATAATGTTCTTTTCAAACAAATCAAATATAAAATAATTAATGAGACCAGCAGGGAAAAAATGACGACATATTTAGATTTTTACTTCTTAATTTTTCAAAACTACAAAAAATAAAGAGTGAAACAGAAATAAAAATGACAAAAATATTCACTTCCTGTTATTTTTGTGTGGTTTATAGTGACATATTTGTGCTTCGTAGATTTTATTATTCAAAACTTTCCTTCCCAATTTTCTGATGCCTAAAAGATAAATTCCACTAAATTTGTGTTTTTCTTTGCATTACGGTGACAATTTATTTAGTTATAAGAAATTTATTTGCTTTTTATGTCAGTTCATTTTAAATTGAGTGGATTGTAGGAGTCACTGCATATCCTCGATAAAAATTAATCATTTATCAAAGAAACAGTTTTTTCCAGACATTAAAATGTCACTCTCATCTTGACTGTAGTTTAAATATTTGGATTATTTTTCTAATATCAAATATTTTCATGTCCAGTTGAATCAGTTTAATTTTTAGCTCTGCATCGCCCTCTAGTGTTTTAATGTAGAAATGTGACAAGTAGAGAAAACTAATATTTTTAATTTATTGAAAAATGTACCATGAAATGTTAACTGAGTAATGAAATGTGAAATGCATCACCTGCATGGTGCAAATCCACACTGTCACATTTCACTGATGCTGATATTGCAAGTTGAAAAGATTATTATCAATAATAGATATTGTGTTTCCTCTATTTTTTTTGCAAATCTGAAGGAGAAGAAAATGTTTCTTTCTGTTTTTTCTTGTTTTTATTGACCTGTGCATTCCTGTTTTCAGTGTTTTGGAGGCATGTTGATCTACGGACTGATTAAGCTCAGTTCCAGCAACTATGAGGTAAAACACAAAACCAATAGTTTACTGTGCTTTATTTGGACTAATGTTTCATTACATCCTGGAGACGTAAACTGTTAACGAGGAGTTAAACTGCAACCATCCTAATAATTCATACAATGGAGGGAAAACAAATAAACTGGATTGATAAGCCTCGTGTTTTTGCTCTATGATCAGATGGAAGGGATTGACACCCCGAGCATCATCTGGGTCTGGGTGTTTGCCATCTGCACTGTCCTGATCTCCTTGCTGGGGGCCCACGCTGCGCGCACCGAAAGCAAATGTGGCCTCAAACTTGTATGTACAGGAATCACAACATTTACACAAATTCTAATTCTAAGTTGATCAATAATAATTATTGTTTCTTTGCAGTTTGCAGCTTTGATGGGGATAGCAATGCTCCTCATGCTATTCTTTGGAATTGCTGGCATTGTTTTAAAAAACAAGGTAATTATTAAAAAGTTAATGTGATGCAGGAAAATGGACAGATGTAAGAAAACATGTGAGTCTGTGGCGCTGCAGGCGCAGCGATGACTGTCTGACGTTAACAGTCATCCAGTCGCTGAAAGAGCAACCAGGTCACACACAGTTACAATGAAATCAGCCTTTTTATTTCACCTCTGGTTCGGACCAATAGCAGGACCTCTTCCTGTATGGGGACGTCACTGGGTTACTGCTATGCAACCCATTTCCTGGTGTTGGTCAGAAAATGAAATCAGCCATCAGTTTTCTGGGTCTATTTTATCAAATCTCTTGTGGAAATGCTTTTACACTTTCAGCCTGTTGTGGTCCAGCAAGGTGCTGATCTCACCTGTGGAAAAACAACGGCTTCTTTGACGTTCCACTGTAAATCCATAAAGGGAAGCTGGTTGTTCATAGATCACATTTTCTGCTGCTTGATTCTTATTCATTTTCTTTTTTATAAGTTACGTTTAATTATCCTAAGTGGAGAAGCAGCAGCTCCTCCTCATGTCTCTTGTTCACATCACAGCTGAACTCAAATATCACCAAACTGACACAATTATAAAAATGAGGCAGAAAATGAGCAGGCGGTCTCCACTGATACTGATCATTACAATATCCCAATGACAAAAAAATCACATCTTTAAGTGTTTTGTCTGGTTTTATGTAATTGTGTTTTCTCTTGATGTTCAGGAGATGGAAAAGTTTCGAGACCCTGAAACTGCCAAGGAGTTATTGAAAGACAATGAAAAAAAAAAGTTGCTGGAAACCCTGCAAGGACATGTAAGACTAACTGGCTCCCTCTGGTGGTGGTTCAGAGGAAGCACAGACAAACCTTTTTAACAAAAACAGTGATGAAAAATGATCACATTAAAATGAAAGCATCTGCAATTCTTTTGTTTCAGGATGTATATTGTATTGTGGAAATATATAAAATCCCAACAACTCTCCTAATTTTAAAGTCTGGTGTTTCAGCTTCACTGTTGTGGATGGAGTGGAGTGGAGGATTGGGGTCCAGACGTCCCTTCATCATGTCGCTGCACATCTTCCTATGGAGCAGGATGTACATCCAGCCCACAGGTGAGATCACAAAGGTTTAGTAATTATTCTTCTGTTAGAAAAAACACTGATTATCACCAAATCTTGTTGTCGTTTCCTCACAGGGATCATCTGTCTACTCCAAGGTATTCAGTCAAGCAGATTTCGCTTCATTTTGTCAGATCTCAAGGGTTTGACCCATAACTTACTCTCAGCTTTCTGTTTTCAGTCCTGTGGTGAAATTGTTGGGGATTATGTTGAATATTTCATGAAGATTGGTTTATGCATCTTTTTTGGATTCGCTTTCGTTGCTGTAAGTTCCCATCATTTCATCATCTAAACAATCATCACTGCACAGCAACACGAATCCTTCCAGACTGAAAGACTTGAGAACCGAGACAAAAATGTTTTGCTCCTAAATTTCTTCACTTTCATTGTGAAAACTTAAATTGCATCTCTGTCAACAATAACTATCGTATTTTTTCGTCGGCTGAAACGTTTAGGAGAAATCCAACAGTAGAAAAACGTTTCTGCTCAGCAAACCCAACAGTAAGACCAGAACCTTCCTTCTGTTCTGACCGACCGTTTGTCCATTTGTTCTTCCAGATGATGGGATTGATCATCTCCGCCAACATGATTAATCAGATCAGTCGTCACGACAGAGCAGGAACTCCAGCTTTTGCAATGGGAACTTATTGACACCCTGATGGGTTTTATGTCGCTCAGATTCTTTCTTTTTGATCTTTATTTTTGCAAAAATGTTGCCAAATAAAATGTTTTGCAAACATTTCCACACTTTGTGATGGATCACTTCTCTAACACACCTGAACCACATAAACATACTCGGGTGAACTTTGCACTTCCATGAACCGGACTCTCCGGACGGTCGGGTTAATTTATATAGATATACTTTATACTTTATTAATGTAGGTTTTAAGAATAATCCAGGAATATTTCTTCACGGACAGTACATCTGGAACAGGCTGGGTAGAATATATATAAAACCTTGTAATTTGGTTGTATATAAATGAATTAAAATGAAAGTTTATTTTCTTTAAATTGACATTTTGAGCTGCACTAGATATCAGAAGGTTATGGAAACCAGAAGTTTATCGGATGAACTGATTCTATGTTTTAGTCAATGCAGACGTTCATTTAAAACAATGCGGATTTGTTTTTTCATTTTTGCCATCGAGCTTTTAAAAATGAGTCAAACTTTGTGCTGTGGTGGCGCAGGTGGGGTAATTAGGGGATCAGGTGGGGTAATTAGGGGATCAGGTGGGGTAATTAGGGGATCAGGTGGGGTAATTAGGGGATCAGGTGGGGTAATTAGGGGATCAGGTGGGGTAATTAGGGGATCAGGTGTTCCCGTCGGGTCAGGAGATCCTGAATGACTCAGCAGGAACAGGGAGTTTCTGGAAACCAAGCCTCATAATGTGGGTAAACCGTTTAAAGCCTGCCTCTCTGTTTTTGTTATTTTCAGCACTTTTGATCTCAAACTGTGGCTGATTGTTTGCTCTCAGTGCTAAAGGGAGTTTTTTGCTGTGTGGTGAAATGTGATTGTTTCTGTTGAGTTGAATTATGTATCTTTAGATCTTCTGCGTTTCAGGCAGATTTTCCCTGTTTTCCTGATTTCTGCTTTACTCGGAGTCGGTTTGGGAGCAGTTGGTCTCCTAGAGGTGAAGTTGGGCTGTGAATGAGACTGTTTTGGTTTTGTTTGCCTCTTGGCTGTTTGGGCTCCGGTTCTGCCCGGTTTGGCCCGGTTCGACCCGCCAGCTTTTCTCCACAGGTGGGCTCAAAGTTTCTGCTGCAGGTTGTTTCCATGTCTCTGTGGAGCTGCTGTTGCTGCTGCTTATCAAAAATACTGCTAACTGAATATTGAATATTACTTTGCTTGATGCATCAATGATGAGCTTTAAAAGGAAACAATAACACATCAGCTGTTATAAACGTGGGCAAAACTTTGACAATATTCCTCTAATCTCTGAAAAACACAGTTTCGCGATGTTTACATTAAATAAGAGGCAATAAAATCACATGTAAATATGTATGTTAACACCACAAAGTTATTAAAAAACAAGGCTTGCCATCAGACCACTTCCTGTTGTCGTCTTCTTAGTGGTTTGCTCCAGTAGTAACTTCCGGTTTTTGATCATGTGACTCGTGTGACGAGAAAGTATTTCCTTTGCAGTTTTGTGAAATAAACAGACAAAAAGCCGCCTTATCCTCACACACCGCGACTTTAATCTGGTGTTAAAGTCGTAACGATACGACTTTATTCTTCTACTTCTCATCATATTGACTTCATTTTGCTTTTCTTTTTTTCCTATAGACTTAAAACTCTGTCAACACAAAATACCAAATTGCAGTTGGCAAATTCACACAGAGACAAAAACCCTCATTTCTGGAGACAAAACTCAGAGTATTAGGAGTTTTGATCAGGATTGGAAATCTCCAATTCTGAGCGAAAGTGAAATTTCTGAATTAAAAATATTACTAGAAGATTTTGAATTTTTAAAATTTGTAAAAAAAGAAAAGGCTGAGATCCGATAATAAACCGAACCGTCGGGTTTGACTCGTTTGGTTTCTCTGATTTTGTATTTTATGAACATGTGCAGCTCAAACTGAGGGAGGATCAGTTTGATTTAAAACATTTTTCTGTTTTTGTTTTGTCACTGTTGGGTTTTTTCTAGAATTGGCAAAAAAATATTTCATATAAAGAATATTTTATATCAGTAAAAAGCATGAAGCATTACATTTAAATAAAATATTTAAAAAAATCAAATTCCCTCCAAAATCTAAATTTAACATGTTTCAATCTAAAATAAAAGGTGGTGAGCGACTCTCCATGACCGACCGCTAGATGGCAGTAAAAGCCAGAAAAACAGCTGAAACCTGAATGGAGGACGTTTGTTTCTAAGTGTCAGATTTAACTGAGTGTGTTTTAAGTTGATCACTCTGTGATGTGATGGACGATCTGAACGCGGCGCCTCATCCTCTCCTCTTTCTCATCCTCTCTTCTTTATCATCTCCTCCTCATCCTCATCCTCTCCTCCTCTCCTCCTCTTCCTCCTCATCTCCTTTTCCCCATCCTCTCTTCTTTATCCTCTCCTCCTCCTCCTCCTCCTCTCCTCATCCTCCTCTTCATCCTCCTCTTCATCCTCTCCTCCTCATCCTCTCCTCTCCCCGCTGCCGTCAGCTCAGCTGCTGCTCAGTGAATCCGTCTTTGTTTGGGTTTTGTGCTTCTCAAACCTGATCAGACTCAGTGGCAGGGAGGCCTGGACTCCCTGCTGATCCATCTGCTCCACAAACAGTTTCAACAATTAACAGCAATTATCTGGACTTTGCTAGAATATTAAATTTAAGAAATGGGGAAAAAAGTCAAATTAACTTTTAAAACCAAATTGTCTTTAAGAAAAAGATTTCTGAGGCTCCTTTTCTTGCAAATTTTTTACTTTTGGACATTTCTGAGTTCAAAATTAGAATTTTTTTTTTCCTGTTTGATTCATCATCGTCGATTTGTGGCTTTCTCTTTGAGCTGCAGCCTGTTTGTATTTCTGCACATTCAGAGGAAATGAAGACTTGAGCAGCAATGGCTCCCGTGTCTTCGCTGTTTGATGGGTAAAGAATCTCCTGATGATTCAACAAATACCTGGAAAAAAATCTCATTTCATCACCAGCAGAACCAGAGCCATGTAATGGAGCCAACAGGCATGATTAGTATTAATGAATCCTCAAGCATATGGAGTCAAAATGTCTGCCAGGAAAAGATGCCAACCATCAAGAATGCATGAAATTTCATTGCCAGTTTGGGTCAGACGTTGATTAATCCCTGGCGTTCCGGTAATAAACGTGGATCTGAATTTCAGGAGCAGCAGAAATTTGAAGACATTTTCTGTTCTCAGGTCAGATTGAACGGCCATTAACCTGCCTGCTAATGGTGAGCATTAACAAGGAGGAGGATGATCTGCACTCATTTAAATTAATTTCATGCCGTCTCCAGCAGTGAAGCGCAGAACCGTGGAAATGTTTTTGATATTTCTTTCCTTGGAGCAGATCTTGATGGTTTTGGAGAGTTGGCCAGAAACTTAAATCACTTTCTGTCTTTCTTTCCAGGCAAATGATTTCAGTTGTTCAGAATAAAGAGGGTTTCAAAGTTTTTCTTGAGATTTTGGATTTTTTCTCGCCACACATGGATGCAACGTCTCCCAGGAAAATCATCCAGGTAAACGAGGCGCCTTGAGATTCTCAGGAGGAAATTGGGACAAAAATGGCAGAAAAATCTCAGTTTTCCTGCGAGATGTGAAGTTATTCACCGTTACTGCATGGACAGTTATGGAGCAAAAATGGTAAAGTTTTTATGTAGCTTCAATATTTTCCCAGATTTAAATTAGAATGTTTTTTACTCCCTGGTATTCATGGAGTTTCTTTCATTATAACTTTTTCTGGATGAGAAATTATCCCAGAAATTATTGCGATAAACTGTAATATAGTTATTATAACTTAATAATGCAAGAACATATTATTGCAGATCAAATTCTCATGAGCATTTAAGCCTGGAAGACATTTTAAAAATCCCAAATCAACAAAATTTATTATGAAGCCATTATAAACAAAATTGTCACATTAAAATTACAAATATATTTCATTGGAAATGGATGTGAAACTTGATTCAAAACATTTTTACTGGTTAAAAAGTGAAACTAGAACGGCCCAGTCAAAGTCCAGACCTAAATGTGATCACTGCTGTCTAATTGTTCTCCATCTGATCTGGGCAAAAGTTTTGCACCAGACGTGCGAAGCTGGAATTAAAACACATTTATTGTCACGACTTCCAGATTCCAGCAAATATATAGAATTAATTGTATAAGTTAAAATAATTTCCATTTGCATGATTTATTGTTTTTCTTTCTACTAAAAAATTGGATGATTAAAACTCTTCAGTTTGGTGTCTTGGTCTCAGCTAAACTTCATAATTAATTTTACTTATTATTTATTATGGATATTTAAAGTATTTTCCATTATCAGTGTGAAATATTCAGTAAAATTGAAAGTTTAAGTATCTGGTTTTGTTTTTCCAGCATCGTTGCTTTACTTTAACAATATTATAATTGATCACAATAACTTTTGAGACTATTTATCGTCCAGCCAAATGTGTCGTGACAGAGAAAATGTTTTCTCTGGTTAGCAGCAAAAGCAGATTGAGTTTCCAGAAACAACAAACTTGGCCTCCGCTGTTGTTTCATGTTCTGTCATCATTACTGATAATCATCAGCCAGGCGGAGAGAAAACAGCCGTCTGTCTGCTTCTCCCATTTAAACCGTCGCATGCACAAACTAAATGACAAAAAGGCCGTCGCTAATATTCAAGGTGTCGATGCCGTTATAAATTCACAACATTAGTGCAGTCGTTAAGAAATCTGGGTCAGCACACAGAATAGCTGGAGGGTTATTAATGTCATGAGGGAGTCCAACCAGGCGGGATGACTGAACCCGGCGCTGTTGGTAATGGATGGACTCAGGTGAGTCCAGACCCGCCCACTCGCTCTGCAGCCACAGATTAACAACAGAAACGAGGCGGCGCAGCATCGGTCGCCATGCGAGTCCGCCGCTCAGCGGCACTGTGACTGGAGGAGACCGTCCTCAGCCCGACTCGTTTCAACTGGTCCAACAAACGTCAAATCCTCCCGTTTATCAGCCAATAAATCAATTAATACTCAACAAATGATCTTTATTCTTGTCTCTTTTTCACACATCACAAC